AGGAAGAGTGGCCCTGGGCTAACATCCGTGCCATCTTCCTCCATTTTATATGGGATGCCGCCACAGCATGGCTTGACAAGTGATGTGTCGGTGTGCGCCCAGGATCGGAACCCTGGGCCCCCGAAGTGGAGCACACGCACTTAACGCCTACACCGCCAAGCGGGCCCTATACTAATTATTTTGTCCAAAGCAAAACCCTGAATCAAGAAAACAACCTCTAGATCTGTTGTTTCAGTAACTAGTAATCTTACTGTGCACATTTCAGTTGGTATTTGGAAAACATGTAACTATGCAGCTTTGCAAAAATATGTTCCTATTTGAATACAGAAGAAGTTGTACTTATTAAGAGTTTAACTGGAAAGTTAGGGCTCACCAAAAGTTAATTAGTGCCTATTTCATGTTCTGGAAAGATAAAATATGAAAGTCTTGTGGAGATGTCTTATTTATACATACAGTATTCCAGAAATCAATGGAATACTCAAAAGATTAAACAGGAATATCCTTTACTTATGGAAAACAGGATAAATAAATCTAAAATTAATTGTCATACATTGTTTTGAATGAGAATGGAATGACTCATCCTACCAGCTCTAATCATGAACATAGACTTTTCAAGAGCATACCTTTTCCTTGTCTATTTCTAATAGCCAAGCATTCCCAAACAAAAGTTAATTCTGGAAATTCTTGTGTATGAAAAGAGGTTTTTGGCCAGAGGAGGTGCTATTTGAAACAGCCAGAAGATTAAGCTGGCACCAATTACAGACAAGCTACTGTGCCTTAATATTAAACTAAGAATTCTCTGGTTCACTGGTACAAGGCTAATTTTACCCAGAATGTAGACAAAAAGACAAGTGATAGGTAAGAAAAAAAATGAACAAGCTTTCATTAAATGCCATAAAACTATCTGGCACTACTCCACAAAAGTGATTATTGATTAACTTTAAAAACAGACATTTTTTAATCTGTTCCTTTAAACGTTTTTATGGGAGGCTGTCCTGTGCATTGCGGGGTGGGGGGGGGGATAATTGGAGGGTGGGGACGGACAGAGGAGAAGATGAAAAGATACACCAATGAAGGAGTAGGGGACAGGGGGTTATACAAGGGACAGTTTATGCAAAGCCCATTGCCCACAGAGGGAATGGCTTGTATAGGACACTGCAGGTCTTTCCAAATTTCTCAGACTTTGTCCTTTCTGATGGTAAGAAAGTCTGGGAAGGGATGCTTGAAGGCTTGGTAAGCAACTGCCTGGCTGTTCCACTAAAAAGCCCATGGACTTCTCAGTTTGGGTCACCTAAAACTTGTTAAAACAATTCAGTTGCTGAAGAGTGTCAAAAATTACTAAATTTTACAGTCCTAAGATGGAATCAAGAAGTCCCAAATCTCCATTTTTCCAGCTATAATTATTCAAACAGTCCTGGCCTTTGTGAGGAGACTGTAGGAGGCTGCAAGGTAGACAGGGCCTAGTAGCTGCTTCTTGTTGGTCTCTTAATGAGGTACATGTATCCTTCAAACAATACCAGCATTGTATTGAAAATTGGCAATTAATTGATGATAAGGGGTTCTTCTGAAAATTTTACAGGGCAAACACATATCCTTGAGCTTAATTTCAAAAATCCCTGGAGTTTCTAACACACTGGTATTACAATTCTGAGATTTAAGCATGGATTTGTAAATGGACAGCTAGAGCTTAATTTTTCCCTTTCACATAAAGAACTGTTTCAACCACATCTTACCCAATGGTTCTCAGCCTGGGAAAGGCAATTTTGGCTCCTGGGACATTTGGCAATGTCTGGAAACATTTTTGGCTGTCATGACTGGTGAGCACTATTGGCATCTAGTGGGTAGAGGCCAGGGATGCTGCTAAATATCCTGCAATGCACAGGACAGCCCCCCCACAATAAAGAATGATCCAGTCCAAAATATCAATAATGTTGAAATCAAGAAACTTGGTCTAATCCAAATGCTTTAAATATTATTAAACCATAATGGTGAAATTAAGAGGTCATTATTATTTTCATTAATAGCCAATTTTCACAAAGGCAATTTGAAAAACAGACTCTGCCTAAAATTGTATGTAAGCTGTACAAGGAAAAGAATGACACATTTGTGATTTGGAAAAAAAAAAAAAAAAATGAAGAGAAAAAAATTAGATATTTTTATTCATGAAAGAATGTGTATACAATTTTTAATGACCCAGAAGAATAACCCTCTTTTTAGACACTATGCTGAGAAAAGTGAAGAACAAAATAGTTATAAACTATCCTACTCACAAATATTAATCTATTATCAAGTTGTTATTCTTCAAATTTACTAATATACCATCTGAAAATCAGCCATCTTGTCAGAAGCTATGATAAAAGCCAGAAGATGAAAGCACCAGTATGGATTTATTACAAAATTTTTTAGTTCCCTTGGTTTTAGGGTAATTTTTTAAAAATTAAAGAAAGCTTATTGGAGAGTAATCCTGTGGTCTGGGAGATAATAGAGTGTGCTCAGACATTTATAAAGGTCCAACCCACCTCCTCTCTTCTCCCCTTCCTGGTAAATCTCCCCTCCAGTTAGCGGACACTGGATGCCATTTGCTGTGGCAATCACTCTGTTTTAAACTCCTTAAGAACAACAGTAGCTAGTCTCTTCTAAACATATACTAATAGGATAAGCAAAATAATTTTTATAGCTCCTCTTAAAAAATCTTATGTGTTAAAATGGTGAAATGGACAATAATTTCATCAAAATAAGAACCTCATACAGACCCAACTCGTTGGGGGGGGCAGGTTACTCAATAAAAATTTGTAAATGAATGAACGAATGCATCCTCCTCTTATAGGTTGTGTGCTACACACAACAAATCTAGATGGGTTTCTTTTAACTTAGATTTCAGAGACATTTTTCATAGTTACCTATCATTTTACAATTGAATCTATAATCTAAGCTGTCCCATTAAGACCATGTTAATTTCACCTTCTTTTTGGCCTCCTACTTGTGATAACTACTGTAAATGTTTTACTAGTCCCACTGGAAATGTAAACGTGATCAGAGGACAAAGAATGGTAAGGAAAGAAGCCCTAATGCACGATTTTCAGCCATTGCCTAAACCCACTCTAGCACAAAGGGAGTGACTTTGTTCTTTGGATGAAACATCTTGAAATCTGGGGTTAAAATTTTAAGGAAAAAAAATTTTTACAAAATGTTATTTAGCTGTAAACTCACTTCTTTTCCATTTCCTGGTAATTGATATTACAGATTTCCTTAAGGGTTAATGTCTTCTACTCACTTTGATAAACAGTTGTTGGGCAAACAGAGGAGGTAGAGAAGTACAGAAAAAACAATAAGCAGAATGTCTAAGTCATCACTTCGGAATTAATTGAACCTAAGTAAAATTGGGAAAGAAAAGGAAGAAAGAAGGGAACCGGCAAGGAGGACTACCTCCAGGAGAGGAGGGGCACAGTGGGCATGAGATTCAACCCTGTGACACTCTACAATGTTACAACACTGCCATCCATACGCAGCAGCAGCAGTAGGTCAACTATTAGAAATATTGTGTTTGGGCTCCAAAATATTTTTTCAATGCAGATCCTGCTCTTTTTGTAATTTTTGTTTCAAAAGTCGTCTTTTTCTTTCCGAGGACGTAATTCTTCAAATCCAGTTCACACAAGGGGATTTGATATGTGCAGCGAGTTCCAAATGCACTGGATGCAGCAATCCTTAACTGCGGGCCTACTATGTCTTATTCTCTGAGCAAGCTGCAGGCACCCTCTCAAGTCTAGGACTCATTATTTTGCTTTTCGCAGATTTTCACTACTTCCTTTTCCTCCCCCAAACTCATGTCTCAGTCCACCAGACCTTTTATGAACCCTTTATGAACCTGCAAACTCCTCCCTTCTAAACGCTTTTGAGTGAGTAGTCAACAGCCTGGTTCAACTATTACTGAGGCTTTATGCTAGAGATTTGTTTACACGGTTCCGACAAGGTAGGTGCAGATGTAGACTGCATCTTAGAGATAAAATTTTTCAACAGGGTTTGATTCGAAGAAAAGCAAGAGTTACAATTTAGGGGAGAAAAAATTCAGACCTCCCATCCAGGCCTGAAGGTGCAAACTCCTAGGGGCGGGTGCTCATCTAACCAACTCCATACCCACACCGTGCCTCTACCCGGCTCACATACCCTGTGGGCACTGGGATAGCTGAATAGCTGATGCGCTTGCAGGGTTCCCTGGCTCGCGGGGCGGGCGGTCGGGGTGTGGGGTGTCTCCTGGCAATCGTGTGTTACGGCTCCTTATCTCACAGTGCAGCGGCAACAACTTTGATTGGAAACGTACTGTGTTAGGGACCATGTAATACTTTTACATGAATTAACTCATTTAATTTTCACGCGGCTGCTCTGTGAACCGGTACCAACGCTCCGATTTATAAAGGAGGGAGCTGAGGTTCCGAGAGGCTCAGTACCGTGGTTCGGAGCACACACGGTAAACCGCACAGCCGGGAAGTGAAGACAGACCTTCTGATTCTAGATCCCTCGCTCTCCACCAGCAAGCTGCTGCTCTCCAGTCCTTCAGCCCTGGGTCAACCCGCCAGCTCTTATGCATCACAGTTCTGGGTGTCTAGTGATGTGACCAAAGAGGGAGCCCTCCGGTCCCTCTTGGGCGGAATGCGGGTCCTCATCCAGGGGCAGGTCTCCCCCGCCTGAGCAGAGCCGGGATGTGCCTAATTGGGACGATTCCCTGCGCTCCCGGCCGGGGGGCAGACGGGGACCCGGCCAGGGAAGGGCGGCGGAGCGCGCGGCGCTAGAGCCGCGTCGC